TGAGCGTTTTGACCAAGTTTTGCGCCCATTTAGATGCATTGCTTTTTGGGCATAAATAAGAAAACCTTCATTACTTATCCCATTTTCCGAAGTTATTTATTGGGCGGGGAATCGAACCTTTCGTCTTCATTGTGTTCGGATTCTTCGAATCGTGACGTGTTGTTAATTTTTACTCTAACCGGTCTTTGTACCTTATATCTCCAGCAAATTGATGGATAAAAGTAAGTTATGTGTCAGTTGCTTAATATTTATATTGCAGTTGTTGCGGTAGCGAGGCCCAGTTGCGGCTGAGTTAGAACTTTCATGACTTAATGGACCGAAACGTCTTATCTTATTTTTTTACTCTCTCAGCGCTTTTATGTTCCCTATTGTTCTCTTAATGCTTTTGTCGGTTCTGCCTTAGAATTGTACTACGTAATTAAGCACCAATTTTGCTTATCGCTCATAATTAAGTATATTTAATTGTGCGGATACATAAAATATAATAATCAACTAATGCTAACTATATATATTAGAGCTGCTAAAATGACGAAATAAAGCGTACCTATTGTGAAAAATTTTGTGAATTTTTTTGTAAAAAACTTTTTGATTCTTTTTTTGAAAAATTTTTTGATTTTTTGCGAAAATTTTTGATTTTTTTTGAAAATTTTTTTGATTTTTTTTAAAAAATTTTGTGAATTTTTTTGTGAAATTTTTTGATTTTTTGTGAAATTTTTTATTTTTTGTGAAATTCATTGTGAAAAAAGCGTATCTATTGTGAAATAATAAAGCTTACCCATGTTTGTCTTATTTTTATGTGCATTGTGAAACAGCAGTGACAACGGAAAGTTAGTGGAAAAGCGGCGATTCTTATGGTTTTATCAATTAGACTCGTTTCTTACACTTGACGTTTTGTTGAAGGAATGAATACAGCGGATGCGCAGGATATTCTGGGCGTGAGCAGTTCCTCGAGGGATGAGAGCGTAATCCCGGCTGGCGGCTTAACCGATGTCGACAAAAAGGTTAGCCCTCAATTACATTGTTTACTGCCGATTTTTGGTCAAATTTGAGCCGATTTTCCCTCAGTTTTTTCGGATTTTCACTCACTGTTGATTTCTGAGATGGGTTAGGTTCTTTTGACAGCATCTGGAAGGTGTTAGAACAGTCGTTTCAATTGAGGGTTGGCCTATCAGCATGCGATTCAGTAAGCTCTGGAAAACTTGATTTGCTGGTTTTTTTTCAAAAAATTCACAATATCTGTTTTTGTAATTTCTAGAGTTTTCAGCCAAATGTAACAAATTTCATAGATTTTCGTCCTGAATCATCGATAAATAGTTGATGTGTTTGCAGCCGCGAAAACCCCATCGTAGTGATGCATATTTCAAACGTCCGGAAGGGATGCATCGCGAGTTGTT